CTGGGATGGGATCTGGGCTGGAATGTGGGTGATCCAGGAGAATTCCTGGGATGGGATCTGGGCTGGAATGTTGGGGATCCAGGAGAATTCCTGGGATGGGATCTGGGCTGGAATGTGGGTGATCCAGGAGGATTCCTGGGATGGGATCTGGGCTGGAATGTGGGTGATCCAGGAGGATTCCTGGGCTGGTTCCACCCTGGAGCTCTGGGATATCTGGGATTGACGCCCCCCTGGAGATGGTGCTTCCTCCTGGGGAATGTGGGAATGGCTCTCCCAGCCTCTGGAATGCCGAGTTTTCCTTCTGCTGGGCTTTTCCTGCAGCACCATCAGCGACATCTCGGTGCTGAAGCTGAAGGTGGAGAAGTGTTCCCGCCAGGACAGCGTCTTCATGAAGAAGGTAATTCCACAATTCCCGGAAAACTGGCCCTGGGGGCCTCCGTATTCCAAGGTTTTGGAGCTCTGGGATCCCAGAGAAACCTGGGAATGTCCCTCAGGAACTGCGCCAGGTGCACATCCCATGGGGTGAATCCCTCAGGATCCACATTCCATGGGGTGAATCCCTCAGGAACTGCCCCAGGTAGGAATTCCATGGGATCAGTCCCTCAGGAACTGCTCCAGGTGCCCATTCCATGGGGTGAATCCCTCAGGATCCGCTCCAGGTGCACATCCCATGGGGTGAATCCCTCAGGATCCACATTCCATGGGGTAAATCCCTCAGGAACCTCTCCAGGTCCACATTCCATGGGTTGAATCCCTCAGGTCCACATTCCATGGGGTGAATCCCTCGGGAACCTCTCCAGGTGCCCATTCCATTGGGGTGAATCCCTCGGGATCCCCTCCAGGTGCCCATTCCATGGGGTGAATCCCTCAGATCCACATTCCATGGGGTGAATCCCTCAGGATCCACATTCCATGGGGTGAATCCCTCAGGATCCACATCCCATCGGGTGAATCCCTCAGGAACTGCTCCAGGTGCCCATTCCATGGGGTGAATCCCTCAGGATTCACATTCCATGGGGTGAATCCCTCAGGAACTGCTCCAGGTGCCCATTCCATGGGGTGAATCCCTCAGGATTCACATTCCATGGGGTGAATCCCTCAGGATCCACATTCCTTGGGGTCAATCTGTCAGGAACCGTTCCAGGTTCCTTTTCCATGGGGTGAATCCCTCGGGATCCCCTCCAGGTGCACATTCCATGGGGTGAATCCCTCAGATCCACATTCCATGGGGTGAATCC